GAGCCAATGTCTGTAACTCATTAGGACACCTCAGCCTATGGGCCTGCTTTGGCAATACATGTGCATCAGACAGGCCTAATGTGTTCCTGCAGCTCCCTGCTTTAGGAAGGTCTCTAAGTTGGTGCATTAGCTTCAATCAATCAATTGTTGCTTTTTCATTAAATAAAATGTGAGTTTCAAAATACAGAAGGTATTGATGGGTTGCTCAAGTGATTTAGGGAGGATTAAAAGGCGAAGGTGCTTATCCTTATTTACTGTGTTATTGTTCCCTGGAAAAATTTCAACACTCTTGTCTAGCCTCTGATAAATATCACTTAAGGTCCAGTGAAATATTGGACTGAGGAAAATCCTGTTCTCCTTGTACAGGAATTACCTATGAGCTTTCAGGCTGATGTTGCAATGCCTTGTCTGTCTGGTGCATGCTGTGTAGCATGTGTTTGTCCTGTGTTTAGTCATATTTATGACCAGTTTGTTCATGTCTCTGTATCAGTGTTACAGATGCCCAATCCATTAATAGGAGACGAATAAGGAAAATTCAATATACTTGAATAATATAGGATACTTAAATATGTTAAAACTGTCATGTTCTGATAAATATTTTAAACTAATGGATGATAATGTAAGTGGTACATGTTGACTGAGTTTACCCAGTAGCTGGATCTGTTCCAATCCAATAGATCACTGTATATTTTAAGCCTCCATATCTATGTCCGAGTACACAGAATAAAATAAAGTTTTCTATTTCAGGCTTTCTTTATAAAAGCTCTACAATTGGACATAATTTTAATTTACTCTTAAGATGCTCTTTCCTTCTGCTTTAATAGCTTTGTAATTCTGTTGACTTTCCCTTCTAATACCACTACTCAAATCTCCAGCATTTCTTTAGGAACTCTTTCTTTTAGGTCTTGCAATTCTCTTTTTGACTGTTCTTAGGTGTTCTATCCATGAGATTGGATTAATGGTGTTGACTCTTATATCTCACTTTCTGTCTTAGTGAAGCAGAGTTTAGTTGCTTGGTGGTTCAAGAGAAAGAAGTGCAGCTCTTCCTAGAAAGAATTTACACATCCCATTCAAGTAGCATGACAAGTGTTTGGTATTTGGAGACTCTGTTAGGTGCATTAGTGAGAAAGAAATAGATCTTCGTTGATGGGATGGACAAGAACTGAATTTTCTGGGAATTGCCACAAGATATGGTGACAATCTGGACATTGAGCGAGCTTGAGAGAAAGGACCTCAAGGTTTCAGAAGGAGGCAATAGGTAACAACAGCAAGAGGATGGAAATAAGGAGGAGAGAGTTTGAAAAGAAGTGCATGACCATGTGAATCCTGAGCCAGTGGATAATTTTAGGATGATTCACATTGCATGTGGGGCCTTGCGTGCTGATTCGGATCACTGGAAATTGCAGTGGGTATGTGAAATGCAAGCTGCACACCCAGCACAATCTGCAGGGAACTTCATGGATCGTGCCAGGATGGGGAGAGATCAGGTGTCCTTCCTGTGAAATGCCGGGGATGGAGATGGGGTGGCCGAAGGGTTGAGCTCACGTGTACCCTGTGCAGAGCTCCTGAGCAGCCCCTGGGACTGTCTGAGCCAGGGGGTTCATCTCTGTTGGCTGTTATGGCACTGTGGCACATGATGCCCCTCACTCACTCACAGACCTGATAAATTACAAACTGTGGCTTGGGCCTTGTAGCTTTTCCCTTCCCAGTTTTGGAACAGGCAGGACCAATGAATGCAGTGGGGCGGGGGAGGGAAGAGAGAATGAAGTGGTAGGAAAGAGGGTGACTGTAGCCCAGGGTTGCTAAAGTCACAGTTTTACTGTTAGCAGAGCTGTTTCAAAAGCAAGGAGTGGGTCATTAATGTAAATGATATTTCTAAGTAGGTTACCAGTTGTGTTTGACTGCTTAATGTGGACATGAAGTTTATGGAAATACTGGTAGAAATGTGGAGTTCTAATGATGCAAGTCAGGTCAAGAGCTAAGTGCTAGGGAAAGTCTGTTTGGGCACTTCTAGAGAAGGCTGGGAGTCAGAGCCTGAAGGATCTTAACACTGCTGTAGAAAATCATGAAGAAATCTGAGAGGGGAGCTGTGCAAATGCCAGATTTCGGAGCAAGTTGCTGAGCAGGCAGTGAGCTGAAATGCTAAAATCTGCACACACAGCAAGAATGAGGTGGGGTATAGGCCTTGGGTATTGACCAAAGAAAACACAGGAACATCTTGGTGATAATTTTATCCTAGAGTAAGTCCAGAAATGAGTTGGATACATCAGTCAGTCCATGGAATTTGAGAGTCTTTGGCTTGCACTATTTTGTTTCTGACTATTCTGACCAGACTATTCAGGCCACCACTTGGGCCTGGAGTTGAGTACTGTGTTTGACCTATCTTAGTTCTCCTCTCCTCCTCCTTACCTTACATTCAACCCAAAGTCAAAATCTGTTGCTCTGGCACCTGCTAGTTGTTCTCTTGCTTTGTGCTGCTCCTTGAAGCAAAGATACTCTCAAGGCTTGGACTTTTGGGTTTGGGGCTTTTTTTATTTAATAGAGTAATATATTAATGTAATTCCTTAAAGTTATTCATATTTTCCCTGGTTTTCTGTGACAAATCCCCTCAAGGGTTAATCAAATCAGGTCCACTCCTGGTCTGGTGCTGATGGTGTAAGATGATGTGTACTCAAGTCCTTATTCAGTAAATAAACTTTTTTTATATAGTAAATTACTCTGATGGGATGTGTTATCTGTGTCAGGCCAGTTTTTTCAGCCCTTGAACTGCAGTAGCTGCTGAGACAACTATTTGGCCACGTGTCTGGGGGTGCAGCATTCCTGCTCCATTCCGGCCCTGCTTTCCTTCAGCAGGGCCCTCACAGGGTGCTCTGCTGCAGGAGCAGGACTGTGCTGCAACAGCCTCTCATTTTATCCACTGCTGAATTTATCTTTCCTGGAATGTATTTGGTCTGTGTGGCTGTGTCATTGAGTTCCCAGTGTTCTAAAGATCCACGGAAAGGTGTTGTATAAGTTACAGGATTGCCAGCCTGACCATCCTGTAATCTGCAGGGTCCAACCACCCCATTCTGGTTTGCTGCTGGACGGGGGCTTGGAGCACGTGGTGATGCAGAACCACATTGTCTGCAGATGAGAAAGTGTATTTTAAAAATCTGATCTAATTCTTCAGAGGGACAAAGAGATGGATTTAATGGGTTCTGTGTACTATGTAAACATGTTCCATTGAGGCAGGGAGTGCTGCTGTGGATGGGTCAGTCTGCTGGTCCTTAGGGTACTCTCACCAAAATACAAAATGTCTTGGAGTTCAGTTCTGTGTTTGGGAAGTGGAGGAAGCTGTCTATTAAGGTATTCCTCTTTGTGTTCTCTGTCAGATTTTAAGGTGTCCATGCTCATTTTTGCCTTTAGACTATTGTAGTGAAAATACCTCAAGAACATCCTTAGGGAGTTTGTGTCTTCGTAACCAACGTGAAGAATAAACACATAGAAGTTTAATTTTGATTTACACAAAAATCTGTTTGTACCTAACACTGGTAAACATAATGGTTAGTGTTACCGTTGATTTCATGTCTTAGAACCTTTGTGTCACAGAGTGAATATAACCTAAGGTAAATGGCTATGAAACACAAGAGTTTGGGCTTGCTTTTGGATGACAGATAATTTGATCACTTCTTTGGAAGCAGAAATATTTTGTATTTGATGTAAAAACCAGACCAAGCAGCTGATGGGGTTGATTACTTTCAATAACAAGAATTGCTGTGTGTCAGGGCAAACCCCTCCCCTGATAACACAGCTGTGCTTGGCTTTGGGCTTCTTTGTGCTGCACTGATTAGTGGTGTTAATATTATATCCTCGTATGCAGAGTAGGAGAACAGAATATTAATAGAGAAAATCCACTTGAAAGTCCTAAAAGAACAGTTTATGTTTTTGAAGTGGAATTTATTAGCAGGACTGACGCTACTGAACCAGTGAAGACACAGCTGACCTCATTTAGTCATACTAGCAAACAAAGTTGTAATTAAATATGAAAATCAAGATATGCTCTAAGATTTTCTGAAAATGCTACAAGGTTTGTGTTTCTGTGAGTTGGAAACTGAAATGATCTTAGCTTTAGATGACATGGGTAGTTTTACATGCACTTTAAACAAAAAGAGAAAGAAGGGAAATACCTGATTTCGAGAAAGATGGATGATGACAACACTCCTGTATTCTGTAACTGTTCAGAAAACACTGTATTTTAGCTCTTCCAAGTAATAACTGATCCTTGTGTCAATGAGATGTGGTAACTGAAGTCATGGAGACTAAATTAAATTTCAGTCAGTGTCACATCTATCCTTTTTTTTTTTGTTTTATTTATGCATTTGTTTTGCTTCATATTTTTCTGTGTGTTTTAGTTTAACTGTTTTATAACATCTAGTAAATTTTTGGGAAGGTGACAGATAAAATACTTTGGGAAGGTGAAGATAAAATACTCCAGGTACAATAGTAAAAACCACTACTGTGGTTTTCATTATTTGTACCTGGAGTATTTTATTTTTCTCCTTTATCAGGATGAGAATATTTCTACTGACCTCGTGTTTCACACACACTGGAAAAGTTTTACAGTGGTGGTTTTGAAGGGGATGTGTTTGTTCACAACGTAGGTTTTAGGATATAGAGTTAACAAGTGACTGGGGAGAGTGCCTGGAAAATTTGACCTGAGTATTTAGAAGTGGTCATTTCTTGCATATCAATGTAGCATAATGACTGCCAGGAAGAACAAATGTTTTCTGAGCTTTCCTTTATTTCAGTTTAACTGTTCCACAGAATTAATTCACTTTGGTAAAAGTCCACTAAATTTGATAGCTAATCCATGAATTAAAGCAGTTTGTGAATACTTTAAGGTATTCAGTTTTTGCTGAGCAATAAGATTAAACACATTTTATTCCTGTGGTATCTAGGTGTTTTTCTTTCTCCTTCCATCCCAATCAGACTAAATGTCTTTGTTTCATTTTTCTTCATAGATTGAAATGCTAAGGAAGAAAGTAAAAGAAAAGGAATTATTTATAGTACAGCTTTTAGAAAAAATCTCTTTCTTAGAATGTGAGGTAAGGCATTACCTTTTATGTTACTGTGATTACTTTATGACACCAAATAAAATTTGAACCAATGTCATCCAACGTTATCTGCATGCATATTTACATATTTACATGCATATTTATATATACATTTATATTTTATGCATATGTATTTGTATTTTCAAATGAAAATTAAACTTATGTAAAATCTCAATATTCATGCTAAGTTTCTTAACTTACAATTTTAATGACTTAAATCAGAAGATTCTGAATAAAATAGTTGGTTTAATTTATATTTTTTCCCCAGAATTAAGGATTCCTTTATATTCTCAATCAGTACTTTTACATTATTTCTTGTGGGGTGAAGGCAATGTACAATTTTATTTCCTAGTTTCATTAACATAATTTAAATAAATATGAAAATTACTGTTTTCCAGAATAAAGAATTACAAGATAAACTGGACTACTTAATGGAAAACCAACCAAAGACCAGTATAGAAACCAGAGATACTGCTGTAGAATGTGACCTTCCATACAGGTATTTGTTTTTCTGGCTTGTTCGTAGGAAAACTCCCCATAATATCCCTCACTGGTGCTGTATTAGAAACCTAAACATTCCCATTTCTGCACCAGGAGGTTGTTTCTGCCCTGTTGTGGCCAGCGGCTCTGCAGCCTGGCTTCGGGAAGATCAGGAATTGTGCTTGTCCTTCTCCTCCCCTTCCTGTGCCCTGGGCCCTGCTCGGGGTTGCACTGACCCTGGGAACACAGCTCGGGACTTGCACGTGAATCTTCCCCCCAGAGTCACCACAGGGAAGGGCCAAACAGAAAACAAAATACTAAGCTAAGGAGGACCACTGCATGTCACTTGAAATACCAACAAGTAAACCTGCTCTTAACTGCCCTGCCAGTTGAGTCATTTAATTGGAGGAGTGTAAATCAGCATATGGAATAGGCAAGCTCATACGAAATCCGCAAGCAAAGTAAAATTGCCTTCATAATTTAAAAATGTACTAATTTCAGAGTTTGGCCTAGACAATAATTTAATGGCATGTGTTTTGAAACCTTAAAACAGTGTTTTTCACTCAGGGTATCAGCAGAAAGCTATCTTTGTTGTCTTCTCTCTGGCCTCTCTATATGTAAGCACAGTCCCTACTTATCAGAGATTTTTTCAATTTTTGAGGTTTATCTCTGTGAAAATATAGCACTGTGCAGTTTAAATTTCATGGGATCACTTTTCAAAATTAATTATTTTCTTAAATTGCTGTCTTTTTTGTTGCAGAATCCTTTAATGGTGTTCTTTAATGTAATATTGCTGTCTGTTTTTGTTGTCCTTAGTCCTAGTAACATTATTGCTGGACATTCCACTATGAGCTCCAGCAAATGCCTGCATGTCAATGTGCCAGTAGGTGCCACGGTGTTTATCAACTATTCTTTGTGCCATTATAGAAAAAAAATATGGAACATCAAATACACTAATTAATTTTAGCTTGCCAGTATCCAAATAGGGCACAAGTTCATTGCCACGGCATCTCTGATAGTCTGACATTAAATCTCTAAGGTTTTTCTTGTCTCCTTAACAGTCCAAGTCCTGAGAACAGATCTCCTGAGAGCTCGAGGCCGGTGAGGACGTACACGCCGTTCAAGAGAGTGCTGGAATTCAGCACAAAGAACAGCACATCCTGAGCACTCAAGTCCTGGTGCTTTCTAAACACGAGCAGATCTCTTGCGCCTTTGCAGCTTGATTAGATAAACTGTTATCAATTCATAGAGAAGAACAGCAGCATGGAGTCTTGCTAAATTTATCCTGAAAGCAGCTTTTTAGTAACTTTGTCTCTGAAGTTACTACTGGCGTTTACTGTGAGGGGGATCTGGAAGAGGCAGGGTAAGTGAAGCAGCAAATGTTGCTGCTTCCGAAGCTGCCCAGTGCAATGTGTCATTTCAAATGCCTGCAAGGAAGGAGTTGTACAGCTGTACAGTTTTTGTTTTCTTCAACTGTGTTGTAGTTCTGTTTGTGTGATGAAGCTCTAACCTGTTCTGTTGTCAGTACTACCTGAAGTGATGCTGGCAGAGGGCATGGTGTGGAAGCTCCCCGTGTGTCCCTGTACAAAGTGGGAGGGCAGATCACGCCTGTCAGAGACCTGGCACAGTCGAGGGCTCTCTTCACCTGGGGCAGTTCTCTTGTACCCAGCACTCTTTGCTGGGAGGGAGAGACACAACTGGGCTGTTCCAAACAATTCCCTCAACACATGAAGGTGAATGTTGTGTTTGTTGCTCAAAATAGTAACCAATAGAGCAGATTATAATGGAATTTGCTTTGTTGGACTGAGGCAGCAGTTTGCACTTCCTCAGTCATGGGACAGAGTGGCCATTGGTGGTACATCCAATAGTAATTGTGTAGGAAAACCCCTGACACCTTATTTATTTACTTTTCCATTAGAGGAAGCCGTTTTCATTAAACAGAATTTTGCCTGCTGCAAGCTGCAGCAGTCCCTGCAATTCCTACAGCAATAGCAATCCTGAATCAGGATTTGGGGTTTTGAGTATTTTTTTTCCAAAGCACTTAAAATCTTATCCTTGGCTTGATGTAGCAGCAGGAATTACTGCATTTAGTACTGAACTCATTTAAATAGATAGGGGATTTTCTTTTCATCTCATTTTGATCTCCCAGTCTCAGTGAACTTGAATTATGAATATTGTATTGTAGTTCTGTTAACATGAATGAAGGACTTTTTTTTTTTTTAAATTACAGTAACTACAGAAAACAAACAACTTTTGTTTTGTATGATCAGTATTGTTCTTGCCTTCAGCCAATCCCAGGAGGTGCTGACCTTGCCACAGGGAGTGCTTTTATCTCCAGTGTAATGCAAGTTTTTAAATTCAGTCCTGCCCATTCAAATCAAGTACACTTACTAAAGTTGTATTTAAAATAATAATATTGACCTCATTCTGAACCCACAAGATTATGAGTAGTGACTCAACTCCAGTTTCAGGGATAAGGTTTGTGCCTGTGGAATTGTATCTCCATCTAGTGGCTGAGAACAGCAAATAATTGAATGATATCTGGTTTGGAAGTGAAAGACATTAAAAACTAATCCCATCCGGTATATTATTGTTCACTAGGGATGGAGCTTTAGGTTGTTACATAATGTCTTTTAGCATTTTTGTGCCCAAATAGTCCCTCTATATTTCAGGAATTTAATTCTGAACCAGGTTTTGTAAAAGTTACCTTCAAACTGAAGGTGAATGGATGAAGGTGGTATTTTTAGATAAAAGGAAATGTGTGTTGTTGTAAAAGAGAATAGTTTAAATAAGTGAAAATTCTCTATCTTTCTGGTTTTGTCCAGAATTCAGAAAACAGAACCTGATGACTGAGAGGTACTCAGTCAATGATAGGAGAGGGCAGGATATGTATCAAAATGCTGTTTTGACACAGACTTCAGAAGTAAGTTCATTCTATTTTGATAGAGGATCTCCTCTGAATATACTGCAAGCTATTTTAATTCTAAGACTTGCAAAATTATGATAATCTGCTCTAGACTTGACCAAGACTGCAGCAAGGCCTTAAGTTTTTACTGTAAAAGTTTTCTGTGTAAATTCTGTCTTGACTGTTTGATGAAATAGGGTATTTTTTTCTAAACCAAATAAGGACTGAAGCCTATGATGTATTTTAAGAGCAGTGAGCTGGGAGATCATCATTTGATTGGACTACTGGTCTAAATTTGGTAACTGAAGAACAGGAGAGGAACCATATTTATATGATTGTGTTACATGAAAATGTAGAGCTTTCTAGTCAAATCAGCAGCAATGTAAATTAGCATAGATAATAACAAATCTGACTGAAAAGACTGTAACATTTCTGTATAAATTTTGTCAATTTGAGATTGGTTAATTACTACTATAACTTTAGAAACTAGTAAAATTTCTGTAAACAGCAATAAAAGCCATATAGAAAGGTCACAGAAAGTGCATTAAATGTAAGTCAATTATCTGACTACATTTGTACCATGATAAGTATTCTTTTGTGATTTATTCCAGATACTCTGGAAAGTATTTTGGGATACAGTTTTCATATATGCTGTATAAATAATGCATTACATAGTATGCTTTTAATATATCCTGTATGTAGGACACAAAAAGGATAAATTGCAATAAATACTGTATTTAAACTTGCTATTCTGTTGTGTCAACAGTCATTTAGAAATAAACCTGCCTTAAAACGTTGCAAACTGTTATTCTGCTCCAAACACGTGGATGCAAAGCGGCTCCTCCAGAGCCTCGATGTTCCTGTCGGTGTTTCCTTTGGCAGATGGGCTCCTGAGAACAGGAAGGCACTCCCTTGCTAAAGACTCCCTCTTGAAGCCAAGTAACAAAAGTAGAAGAATTCTTTCAAGCAATAAAGAACTATTGACTTGCACAGGGTAAACAAGAACCGGGCAGCACAGCCCTTGCAAAAAAACCCCTCAACCCAGCAGCTTCAGATCCTGCAGATAACATTGAATACATGTGGGATGATGCTCTCCAGGATGAGGTTGGGATGGCTGTGGCCTTTCTTTATTTACAGTTGATATCCACTCACTGATAATAGAGATTTATTTTTAAGACTGTCACAGTAAAGCAGTCTGCATGTCAACTAAATAAGAGGTCAGGCAAACGTGACAGTCACAGTATTGCAGGTTTGCAGTGCTCAGATGAAGAATGTGAAGTATTTAATTCGAGTAATGCTTCCCCCTTGGTATGTGTATTCAGTACAGATTGCCATCAGGACCTCATAAAATCCAGCAGAGATCAGCAGTGCTCAGTGCTGAACCTACAACATGGGATTGTAGGAGCTAAATACTTTTCAGAGAGCTTTAAATACTTGTTTTGACATCTGAAGACTTTTAGACATGGGCAGATGAGAAGTAAGTTCCCTCTGCATTAAGCCTGTAATTCTGCACAGGAAATCCTTGCTCCACAGAATGGAGATGTACATGCTGAGAGTTTCATTCCACTTACATTTTATTTCATTCCCGTTCAGCACCTGGGGCTAATTGCATGTGTAAAAGAAGAAATGTGCTTGAGAGACCCGAGTTAAGGCCCTTCCAGCCCTACCTCAAACACCAACATAGAAGGAACACAAGAGAACAAGGTGATAGCAGCCATCTAGTACTCAAGGTATGCGAACATTTTCAAAAGAAAAAAGGACCTGATGGTTTAAAGAGAAAATAGGTAGAAGTGAAGGTTTGTCAGGTTACAATATTCTGGAAAGGCATGTGGTGTGTAGGCACTACAATGATCTGGCAGTGACTTCCCATATGTAAACCAGTATGTTGATAGCTGTAAGTATATATAGATCTGCTTTTAAATTGCTTGGGGCTTTTTCTAGAGAAATAATGTTACGGAAGGGGTTTGTGGGGTTTTTTTTAGGAAAATAAAATTAATTATTATGAAGGTGAATCATGCTGATAAAAAGGTGCTGTGGGGTTTTTTTCCCTAAATGAAATAAGAAATTATTAAATTGCTAATATACCATTTGTTCCTGCTATTTTGGGGGTTGTTTATTTTGTCTGTGTGGCTTGTTTCCTCTCCTCCTGCCTCTTAATATTTCCACCTAGGAATAGAGAAACCATAAAAATAATTTTCCCTCTCCTTCCCCCCCCCCAACCTACATTCTAAATTTTCTTTTGCCCTTTTCCTAATGAAAAGAAGTAACATTCTATAAAGTTGAACTTTTCTTGTAGAAATAATACTAAATTTCCTAGAAATTCCAGCCATGCTATTGCAGAATAAATTAAATTTAACTCTAGATATCTAGTGACAGAAAACAAGTCACCAAAAACTATTTAGTAACAGCTCAAGAGCAGTGGTCTAATGAGATTGTTCCTTCTGGGCTTTCAGTTCCCTGGGCAGAAGAGGTTTCCATGCTCAGCCTTCCCACTTTCTCCTATCTGCAGAGGAGAAAGGCAAAAAAGCAGGATCAAGTGTTCCTTCTGCAAGAAATGTTCAATAGAGGGCATAACTTAACCCTGCATTACAGAAGCATCAATTCAAAGGACTTGTGTCCTTGAACAGCAGGGGATCTCCTGATGTGAAAAACTCAGTGATTTCCTCTTCCCTGAACTTTTAGGCAAAGCTCCCTGAGGGATTTTCCACAGGATATGATCCAGGTTGTGAGTAAGAGACAGTGAAACGGTCTCTTCAACTCATCACGGAGCAGCTTTTCTCACCCTGACTGGGGTGTTTTTTCCATGGGTAGCTGCCTACTTGATTAATCTCATTTCCCCCCCGCCCTCAGCCTTTCCCTGGGCCGTCCAGCTGCGCAAGCAAAGGGCAGGCAGATATTTCAGAGCGCTTCCTCCTGCAGTCCCTCTGGGCTGGGCCTGCCTTCGTCCTGCTCAGAAAACAATCCCCTTAACAGCCTCGGAGAAATGTACCTGTTCTCTATTGCTCAGATCGAGAAACCTCAACTGGGATCAACTTGAAAAAGCTGCCAGCTGCCACCTGGGAGCCACCTCTTGCCATGACCTCACTGCTAGGGATGGAGTGGCTTCCTGAGGGTGCTTGTGCCAGTTCCGAAGTTCTGGAGTCAGTGTCATACCACAGTCTGAGCTGCTGTGTTCGGGCTCGGCATCATAAATGAACAAGTGGAAAAATAAAGGCCATGTAAACACTTCAACAGACCTCTGAAAAGTAAACCTTGAGCCCTAAACATGAATGGTCATTCTGCAAAGGGCTGCTCAGACACGTGGAAGCAGCACAGCTCTCATCCATGGAAACACCAAGCCATGGTGGGACACATGGGGGACATGGATGGGGGACAAAGCCTTTGCAGCTTTTTGACACATCCCACCTCTGCTCTGCACAACCTGTCACACCCAGGCTGACCTGGAACTGTTTCTGGGATGCTGCGTTTGTGCAGTGAGGACTCCGTGACTCCAGGGTGTGTGATGAACCTCACGCAGCTGGACATGCCCGCACCGATGCAGGATGAGCACCACATCAGGGACATGTGAGCCTTCAAATCCTGAGTTAAAGTTGTGCTAATTATTCACTTAAAAAAATGTGTCTGGAATATATCCATTTTAAGGTTCATATTTCAAAAGGAAAAGTAATAAAATTTTAAAATAAATGTATAATACTAAATGTAGCACAACACAGGCAAGGAAAGATTAAGCCCCTGGATTTTAAAGTCATATATATTGGCCAAAAACGATACCAGAAATTTCCATAATAATTTATTTCTGCAGAAAAAAAAAAAAATTCAGATTTCATTGATTCCCACAGTAAAACGGTGTCAAAAAACTTAAGATAGAAAGATACCAGATCGGTATTTGGGGAGGGGGAGGAATCAAGAATCCTGAAGGATCTCTGAAGGGTAAGAAGCAGAATTGCTGCCCCCAAAAAATTGATAAAAGATGTCAAATTGGCCCCAAAAACAAAACCAGCCTTTCAGCTGCTTCTCCGCAAGCATTACACCTGCCACATTCTCTAGGAAATAAAACACATTTCCTCAGCTGTTGTTCCTGTTCTCCACACCACACAACCCCATCCCTGGGCCGCCCTCGGGGGGCCGTGTCGGCCTTCGCGTTCCGAGCAAGGCGGGCCCTGCCGCCGTGCCGTCGCTTCCGGCAAGATGGCGGCGCCCATGCGGGTGCCGGGCCGTGCGGATGGCGGCGGGCCCGGGGCTGCGCGGGCGGGCGCTGCCCGAGCTGCGGGACATGCTGCGGCGGCAGGAGCGGCTGCTGGCCGACAGGTGAGGGCGGCCGGGGCAGCAGAGGACGAGCCGCTCCGTCCTGCGGGGGCCGGCGAGGCCG